AGAAAGGATTACTTGGAGGCATTCATGTAACATATGCATGACTTGGCAAGATACAAAAGCTATGAATAAAAGTATACTGATAAGAAAACATAACCGAATCCTCTTTATATTTTTCCTCTTTAATGGCATTTGCATAAGAAAGCCTTTTGTGCATTGAAGTCTCAAAATAAATACATCCCTGGTTTTCCTTCCAAATGAGCAAATGGTGAATGAAGATTTTTTTTCTCAGAGGAGGAAAATAAACAATTTCATAATTATTGCTGCAGTCTTTTTGAGCAGGTTCAGCTTTTTGGTACAAAATGTGATACTTAATGGGAAGACAGTAAACGAAATGGAGAAAGACTCCGTATGTTGTAGATGAAAGCCTAACATTGGAGCCTTGAAGAAAATACTCTTTTCAGTGGTATGTAAAATGCTTGCTTAGATGTGAAATTAGGCACGTTCAGTGTAGAAGCAGGACACTTCTGAAGCTATATTGCAAAGAGAATTGACTCTTTGGCTTTTCTATCTCTTTCTCCCACAAAGCACGCTGCGATTAACTTCAGGTGTTCAGATGACTGAATCAAAATCATGCTGTGTTTTGAAAACTCTGTGACATCAGGTTGTCCCTTCTGTTAGTTCTAAATAAGACTAAGCTACAAATAGAATGATCATACACTAGTTCTTTGGTTCCTCAAAATGAAAAGTGAGGCAAATTGTTTAAAACTTTCATGGTTCTTAAGTTTTATAGTTCCAACTGGTAAGATATTTTGAGAGTAGGCCATAAATGCTTACTTTGTGAACTCAGGCCATTTTTGTAGCATGGGCACCCAAGTTGCATCCTTAAGGTTTTCTTGTGCATGCAGTGTCTATGCAAAATCTCCAACTGCACAAAAATACTGGCATTTGCAACTGAAAACAGGTAGTTCCATTAATCTTTTTTAAATGTAGGGGGGGAAAAACAAACCCTCTAGCTTGTTCTGTGCTCTGATGTGACCTTTATCTACCTTTTAGCTCTGTAAGCAAGACCTAACTACTCTCATTTGAAGAGGCCCTAGGTCATCTATATTTTATGGAAGTTTCCTATATCTGCTTGCTTACACAATTATTTCCAGTAGTTTTGATACTCTTTAATCCTGCAAATCCTTTCTTTAAACCCACAATTTCCTCCAATCCCCCAGGATATACCCAAGCATGGTAATGCAATTATTTTTTTAAGTAAATGTGAACTCTAAATCAGTGAGTTACTTCAGCAGGTGCTCAACTTTAAGCATGAGACCCATATTGACTTCAATGGATCTGCTTGTTGCAACATTTAGGATCATTTTCTTTCTGGTTTTACTGTTTCAGGTTTGCCAATGAGTAAAAGAAATGAAACAGGAACCAAAATAGCCTTTATTTCTTATCAGTTGGGTGGTAAGTCCAGCTGAGAAGGGGGAATAAGTGAGGATACATATCTAAAGTTGTCCAGAAAGCATACATCTTTGAACCAGCAGTCACAGGCTAACACATGGATGCACACAGCTAGATAATATTCGTTTCTTTTGCATATCATTCCATTAACATTGCAATCCAATTTCTACATTCTTTGACTGCCTGGCATCTTCCAAGGTGCTCAGAAACCTATACCTGGGTTGAAGTGATACTGAATACAGAATAGTTGGAAATTTGTCAGCAGGCCCCACCTTCACTCACCCCACCTCAAATTCCTGGTCCCTCTGGGATCCCTGGAAGCCAGGTAAAACAGCTCCCTGGTCCAGATACAGCCCACGGGTCATATGTCTGATACCCCTCTATTGGCGGTTAGCTGTACCAGTTGATAGAATTTAAGCAGCTTGTGGTCTGATCTCCTTCCAAGCATTTGGGACTTGTGCAAAACCAGCCTGAAATTCTGGGAACTATAGCCAACTCTTTCATATCCCTTTCACCCTGCTCTATCCAGAAGCACCTGAACACAACAGAGAACCCATCATGAAACATCACGACTTGTAAATGGCTTTAGTACAAGCTTTAAATCTACTGAAATAGTACATAGTACTGTGAAGTTTAATTATAGGCAAGACTCCCATAAACAATTAGCCACCTCTCTCTCCTAGTCATCTGTCACAGTGTCATATCATGTGGCTTGATTGTGATGGAAGATGGTAATAGATTTGTCAAATAAACAGATTCAAACAACTTTTCCTCCTTCCTTCCTTCCTCAGACCTGCCTACTGGTCTGAGTGCCCTAGTGCCACCATTCTGTACACAGAAAGGGAGCAGTTCCTTGTACCCTCTTTCCTTCTACTCAGGAGAGAACACAATGTAAAAACAACTATATTAACATTGGTAGGACAGAAAGTAAAATGTGTGTTCTCAGTGGGACTTAATTTCAGTAGAACAAATTGATAACTTAGAAGCATTTGTGTAAAACACTGCAGATCCTTAGCGAAGAAAATGTACGATATCAAAATAATTTGAATTCAAACACTGTATGCTGGGGAAGGCCTCTGCTGCACCCAGATGTGCAAGGGGTACCACTTGTGAAAATGCATCCTACTCTCTGCCCTGGCTCACATGCAATAATGTCTGGAAAAAATGGCATGTAGTCATTGCTGATCACACCTAGGGTGCATCCAGTGCCATTCTTAGCCTCCAGCATGCTTACTTGCACACACCCAGTGCCACCCAAAGGGTGGCCACATGCCATTTTCTCAGCATTTGAACTGAGCAGAAGCAAGTGGATTGAGCATGTTAACATAGCAATGACTCCCTTGCAAAGAGATAGTGTGTTTGTGTGTGTGTGGGTGTGTATATATATATATATATATATATATATATGGCATTAGAAGCTAAGGGTTTGATCCCAAATCCATAGGAATCCTTCCATTGACTTCAGTAGGCTCTTGATGAGACTAAAAGGAACCAGAAGTTAGTGGTTAGCTATGTGCAGATTAAATGAATGCTGCAAAGATGCATCTAGAGAAAAAAATGGGAGCTGAGTGGATAAAAACTGCTTGCTCATCATTATTTTTACCTCATACACAGCATTCCCTCTAAGCTGCATGGTGTGCATGGCCATGCAGGGGTGACTGGCAGCGCAGTGTGAATGCGCCTGTGTGGCCGTGCACTCCACACAGCTTAGAGGGAATGCTGTTCAGACAGTTAGCCCCCACATGAAGTTATCACATCTCATCTGTCTGAAAACGGAAGTTTTCAGCACTCTTTTAATGAGATTTAGAAAAACTTTCAGTGTACTGTTATTTAGCATGCTGTAAAAAGACAAAGCCCCAAAAAATCCAGAATAGACAGAGAAGAAGTATTCAGGCAAAAATTAGAAAAATAGTTCCCAGCTCTCAAAAATATTTTCATGCTTGCTGAAGGCATTTTGGTGACTCGAAGAACCTACATTATGATGCAGAGTGAAGGCCTTGATGATACAGCCTACTTTGTCCTCCATTTCAGAACTGCTGATGGCAAACTGATAGCAAAATGCTCTGTAGACTGATGAAGGATTTTCTTTGTCTAGGGATAGGTTCTCTGCATTTCTATAGCCAAAAGATTTACAACAGATTAACAATCACAAAGGATGGTCTCCCTTCTTCATTGAGCATTAGAGGGCAAGGTACCCAGGACTGACTGGTGTCTGCATATGTATTTTTATCATTCTTTCCTTAGATAGGGTTATACCAGGCTGGATTGGCATTTCACAGTCCAGCCAGTTAAAGACACCGTGGAGCAAGTGAAGGAACCAGAATGTCACAGTCTGCTTCCTGCTCTCCTGGGACAAAGTGCCTTGTGCTGTTAGTGTGCTTCTCCATCTCTGCTGTGTGGAGCTGCCCTGCCTTTTCCCCACTCACTCTCTGTTCACTGTCATGGGGGGCGTGGGGAGCATAAGCCTTGAAGTGGCTGCAGGCCTAGCCTGCATGGGCTGGGGTGATGTAGATAAATCAGCATGTGGGTGTGCCTAGGGTATGCCCAGAGCAGCATGCAGCAGGGCTTAGTCATTAACCTTTATGGCATTGGTATGTATCTCTGCATATATCATTGGGTCAGAGCTGAGAACCATTCTAACTTGGGATGAGATGGAAGCATCATAGCAAATGTCCATGCAACAGCCCTGATGGATCACCAGCAGCTTTGATGTTAGAAGTGCCTCTGGCCCAGATGGTGAGCGGCCCGTGCGTGGCCATGCAGGGGCAGAGGGGCATGCAAGAAGCCTCCCCACTTGCATGGCTGTGCAAGGGCTGTGCACAATAGCGGAGAGCTAGCTCCAGAGAGCACAGGGACTGGCAGCAGGAGACTGAAAGATGTGTGGGGATGAGACAGGACCCTGGCCCTAATGCAGGGGCCAATGCACTGGGTCAACCCTATTGATATTGTATCTACTGCCACTCCCGAGGAAACCTGGCTCTGTAGAGCCCCCTAGGCCCTACGGCTATGGCCAGCCAACCACAACAAAGCTCTAAAGGCATGTAATACTAGTCAGTAGGGGTGATGATAACAATAATATGTTTTTCCTTGGTCTGCTCTTGTTTTGTTGGACTAAGGAGCCTCCGGTACTTAGTGCACCAGGTAAGCTATGGGCTCAGTCGATCACACAGTGAACTGCCAGGTAACCCTTACTAAATGGACCAGACTTATAACTGCAGGCTGACAGGTGGTGGTATAAAGGGGCTCACAAGAGCATATAGTTTGGTATAGTTTGCCGTTTCCTTTGCAAGGGGCTTTCCTTTACCTCAGTTTCAAGATGAAACTGGATGCTTATCTTGCTGGGATCCTATGACCCCAGCTGACTTCCTGCCCTTTGGGCGGGGGGCTGGACTCGATGATCTTCCGAGGTCCCTTCCAGCCCTGATGTCTATGAAATCTATGAAACCTGCCTCTGAACTTGGCTTACCTCCCTTTCTGCTGGAGAGACCTTTCCAGATGCAGAGGACACGGGATTCACTTTTAGTTACCAAAAGAGCAGGAATAGAGGGAAGCTGGCATTTGGTTTATTGAACATCAATCAGTTTTGACTAATGTGTGATTGCTTTTAGGGGCAACCAAAGACATGGGGAAGATGCTGGGTGGGGATGAAGAAAAAGATCCTGATGCTGCCAAGAAAGAAGAGGAACGACAGGAAGCCCTTAGGCAGGAAGAGGAGGAAAGGAAAGCAAAATATGCAAAGATGGAGGCTGAAAGAGAAGTCATGAGACAAGGAATTCGAGACAAGGTAAGTGTCACCTTCTAACTGCACTAACTGCAGGGTAGATATGCAGTTTTATAGATATGCACCTTCATCGATATGCACCTTTGTCTAACTAAATAAGAAACATAGAGAGAACACAAGGTTTTCTGAACCCAAGTTCACTTGTGCTAGGTAATTGCTTTGCTGCACTCAACTTTTAGCGTTCACTTTTGTTTTGAACCTTTGCCACTTAACAAGCCTTGTGTTCAAGAGCACAGTCATATCAAAATGCCAAATATGGATGAATGAAGAGGACTGTTGTATTTTTTTCTTTTTTACATCTTGAATTACTTTGTTACTTTTCTTGTCATATCATGACAGCATAAGACTCTCTGAGGCCATATCATTGGTTTATACAAAACACCATAATTCAGTCTGGTTCTGTTCTAAGTGAGGGTGTCCTAATACTCAGTGGGCACCTCTACACATGCATTGACTCCAACCTAGATTTACTGAGCAGTAAGATACTGTGCACTAAGGGTCTTTGGGCAGGTATCTACATGTGCATAGATTAGGGAGAAAATTTGCTCCCAGGTCCCTGCAGCCCTGCAATGCACCCTTGCAACCACCGGGGGTGGGGGATGGAGCTCCAAGCTCTGGCTGCAGCTGCCAGCAGGCTGGCAGCCATTTTTAAAAGCCAGCCCCACTCTCTGCTCTCTGGGCAGCCTCTTCCTTTGTTTAGGAGCAGCATGGCAAGTGCAGAGGCAGCACATGGCAGCTTTGTTTGTGCCTCCCTGCACTATGGCTGCCCTAGCCCCTGGCAGTGACAAACAGCTTTCTGGGGTCTTGCTGACCACTGTGATCACCCTACTGGCCTGCCAGACTAACCGTCACCTGGCCCATGGCTGGCTTGCTCCTCCCGGCTCCCCCATGACCAGCGACCACCTGCCCAGCCGCAGCTTACCCTGCCAGGGCCACCGCTGCTAGGGATGCCATTCAACGGCTCCAGGATGCTGCTGCTGGGGCTGCCATCAGCCTCCTAGGCCTCCAGTCCCACTACCTCTGGGCCCACTGCCCCACCCACCATTGGTGGCAGCACCTTGTCCAGCATGTCTGGGATGATGAACAGTGGTTAGATGGCTTCTGGAAGACCCAGTCCACCTTCTGGGACCTGCTGCACCAGCTCCAGCCCCACCTGGAGTGCCAGGAGACCAGCATGTATCCAGCCCTCCCTGCTGACACCTGCCTAGCTCTGGTGCTGCTGAAGCTGGCCACGTCCACCAGTTTCTGGTATGTTAGCCACCTGTTTGGCATGCACAAGACCACCACCAGGGAGGCTGTTTTGCAGATGTGCAGTGCCCTCCAGGACATGCTGGCAGACACTGTCCTCCATGACCGTGGCAAGGTTCTGTGCAGTGGGATTTCCCCAGTGTTATTGGGGCCTGGACTGGACCCACATACTGGTCACCTGCCTGTCCCATAGAGACTGCCCCTACTCAGGAGATTCCACTCCATGGCCCTGCAGGCCATGGTGGACAACCAGAGCACATTCATGCATGTGAGTGCCCATGTCTTTTGCAACTCTGGCCTGGTGAGACTGGTGGAGAGCAGGCACTTCACACGGGAGGTGCTGGACCTGTATCTGGGCGCCATGGCCATCCCTCCCCCATTTATCAGGGACCCTACCTACCTGCTTCTCCCCTGGCTGATGAGGCCCTACAGCAGTCACCTGGACCCCTGCCAGGCCCACTTTAACTGGCGACTGGGCCAGATCTGTACCCTGATTTAATGCTCATTCGGCCACCTCAAGAGCTGCTGGTGCTCCCTCACTTCCCACCTTGAGGTCACCAAAGAGAACCTCCATTGGGTCATCGTTGCAGCCTTCATGATGTATAATATCTGTGAGGCCCAGGGAGAGATATTCCATGAGGCCTGAGTGGAGGAGATGTGATGCATGGAGGCAGCCTGGCAGTGGGAGCACCTCCAGTGGTGACAGCAGCAGGTCCTGCCTGACAAGGCCCCAGGAGAGCTGCACACCTGCCAGCAGAGGCCAGGGCACTGCATACAGAAGGCTCTAGCAGATCACCTCCTGCAGTTTTCCCTGCTCTAGCTCTCCTGCCCTGCTGCCCACAGACCCCCTACCCCCTGCCCATCCCCAGCACCACTTCCATTGCAGGCACCCATCCAAAGAAGAAACCTTTATTCCCCTCACAGCACACCCCCCCCATTCGCCCCCCCCTTCAGCACAGAGCCCTCTACCCCCTCAACGCACAGAGCCCCCTCCTTCTCCTCTCTCAACAAACAGAGCCCCTCCACCACCCTCCCCACCCACCAACAATAAAAAACCCTTTTCCCAGTGCATAAATTATTTACAGTCTTTGTTTTGGTGTCCTGGAATGAGGAGCTGTGGGGTGGGGACACCTAGGGGGCAGGGCCTTGGGGCAGATGGCCAACACCCCAACCTCTGAACATTCCCCTGTGGACCTGCATGCTGTGGCAACTGCAGTGGGTGAGAGGCTTGCCTAGGGGCAACAGTGCCTGGGGCTCCTCTGGGATGGGCAGCATCACCTCTGGCTGGTGGATTCCAGGCCCAGCAGGGCAGACATCCAGTCCTAGTGCCACTCCAGGCAGCTCTGACTCCATGCCCACGTGGAGCTAGGGTGAGTGGTAGGCCTGGGACCAGGTGGGTGGTGGCAGACCCAGGGCAGGGACTGGGCCAGGTGCTCCTGCAGCCAGGAGACAGCAGAGGACCTTCTCCCAGGTCCAGGCAGGGGCCTGCTCTGGGGCAGCAAGTGGCTGCCAGCGGGCCTGTGGTGCTAGGGATCATGCTGGGCAATGGGTAGGACAAACAAGTTCTCCAGGCCCAGAGCAGTGTCCAGGATCCAATGGTATATTATCCATCACCTACATTGCCCAGCCCAGGATGATGTTCTGCTCCCACAGGACCTAGATCTGCTCCTGGTCCAGGGCCAAGCTCTCCCTGGAATACGAAGTCCTGTGCCTGCAGGCCAGGCAGGCCAGGTCCTCCTCCTGTCACCTCTCCTCCCAGGCCAGGTCGTCTTCCCACCCACCCATGCAGTCTCCTCCAGCTCCTTGGCCACTGCCACCAGCTGCTGCAGGAGGAGGGTCTGGTCCTACATGTGCCTCTGGCACAACCAGCACATACAAACAGCCCCAGCGGTGGGTGGTAGCGTCCCTGATCCAGCATCCCCAATGACCACTCCAGCCTCTCCCCTGATTCCAGATGCTGGGTCTGCAGAGCCAGGAGACAGAAGCCTTTTCTGAGAGTTTGCAACATTTCTGGGATAAGATGCACTGCACCAGGGTCCATGCGCTGCCTGTCTTAAATTAGGGGTCAGACATGAATGGGTGCCCAGGGACCATGGTAAGTGTCACAGGGGAGAGCAGCTGGAAGAGCCCCAAACAACAAATGGGGATCCCCTAGGACAGGGATCATGTACAAAAGAAGAAAAAACAAAAACAATCAAAGAGAAACACTTACCTGCAGCAGGGTCCACAGCGCAGCTGGAGCAAGGGAGAAAATCCACTCAGGTTGTGAGTCGCGCCTTTATCCAGCTGAAACCTGCTGGTGACCTCATTGGCAATCACCGTGCGGAGATAAAAAGGATCACAAGAGAAGACGGTGGGAGGAATGGAGGAGAGTCGGAGAGGACTCTCAAGCCAGGTGACGTGAGGGATACTCCTGAAGAGAGAGAGCTGGCAGGGGCTCCCTGTGCCAGCAGAGATCAGCGTGACAAGGAGGCAGAGGAGCCAGAGGAGGCTCTCTGCACTGGCAGAGGTGGGTGCGTCAGAGGAACAGGAGAGACAGAGGAGGCTCTCTGAACCAACAAAGGTTGGAGCATCAGGGGGACGAGAGAGCCAGAGGAGGCTCTCCCTGCTGGCAGGAATGGCCATGAGCAGCAAAAGAGGCTGCGGAGCACAACAGCAGGAGGCTGGGCACCGGCATCTAGTATAGAAGGTTGCCAGCCACTTGAGAAGGTACCGCAGGATGTCGGTAGTGGGATGCCTCCAACAGCGTCTGAGGAGGGTAGTACCACATACCATGCTCAGCGAGGTGAGGGGAGAAACAACCCGGGACGAGGGACTGCGGTCAACCCTGGCCAGACAATGGGTCAGCCCCAGTGAGATCCTAAGGGGAAACAATGCCCTGCTATCCTAGCAATAGGGCTGGGGGGAGGAAACCGGATGGGTCCTTCCTGACTTTTAGTTTCATAGATTCATAGATTCATAGACGTTAGGGTCAAAAGGGACCTCAATAGATCATCAAGTCCAACCCCCTGCATATGCAGGA